TCAACAAGAAATTTTATCATGATAATTCCCGGAGAAAATATGATAAACGTTAATATTATCAAATGAAAAAGTAATACTATATGATTTTATAAACTTTGTATATTTCTCCATCCACAATTTCTTTAAAGGATACTTATTTCAATTTGATTTTATAATGTTTTCTATTTCTTTGTTTTCTACAGAATTAAATTTTATATTGTTGAGAAATTATATAATTGTGCTGGTTATACATCATATATGGATAATTCAATATTGGATAATTCAATATATCCTTAATAGAAAAATTAGGATAGTACGATTTAGATAGTTGAGTCACAAACTGGAGTTCCAGGTTCAAATATTATCATAGTATGTTTTTTAAATATGATATAAAAAAAAAATGTGAGCGATTGAATGTTCGTTCGAGATTTCACAGACCCAATATTGTACGTGGAATGTTAATCACGTATAATCACATGAAACTCAGGGGTGACCTGATTTTCTAAGATTTTTCAATAGTAGTTTAAACTTAGATTCAAGTTTAAACTCTTCTAACAATACATTTGTTTTGTTTAAACAGATTTTAAGTTGAAATCTAAGTTTAAACTATCATTGAAAAACCGGCCCTAAGAAATAAACGTAGATTACTCGCGATTATTATACACAAAAAACACGATTCGTCGAATATTGCGTCCCACCGCCGACGAAAATCGCGTTGATCCGACTTAACATCAGACGCCGCCGAGGCGTCGTCACGTCAGATAAATCCTGCTGCGCGGATAACGTTCTTGCTCGCGCTATTTCGTCTCAACATAAAAAAAAAACGTCAATATACGGCGCACTTTTGAGCGTTGTGTCGATGGTACGAGGCAGTCGCATTATTTTGCCGTGACGAGGAGAATCAAGCGGGTTGATTGGCCTGCTGTCAGATAACCCTGAGCAACCGAGAATTGTATCCGGTTATCGTGCGGTTATCGCTTTAGCGAATAACGCAAAAAGCATTCGTAATGCACTCTCGGTCGCGAGCGCGGCTCGTCGACGAGGACGACGACGACGGGAGCTCGAGAGGCGAGCCGAGTCGAACGCAATGACGAGAAGAGAGGAAAAGAGAGTCGCTGCAGTTAACGTAACCGAACCCTCGTTCGCGGCAAAACGGATCCCCTTTCTTCTTTCTCTTTTTCATCCGTGCGTCCTCCGCTCACGTTCGCCTCTCGCACTTTGACGGGCTTCCGTTGTTTCGATTTATCGAGAAACCGGAACCGAAACGCCGCCGGTGCCGTTGCCATCGGCGCGACTGGCTCGTTCGACGTGAAAGACACCCGGCCATGGAATTTATATGTTTCGATTTTCTTTTTCGCAAAATCGTCGATGAAGAAGCGACGAAATACCAAATGCGCGTATCAAAATATGACGCGATATAAAATACACGCAATGTTCACGTACACGGAAATGTTCAGTTCGGGTAATCGAATGACTGTCAGATGTATTCATTTCTCGTCAGCGAGAAATGATATCTCTGTAATTGTGATCGAAAACATTCGACTGACATTCAGCTGCATTAAAACTCGAGTGAATTAACTGAGAGCAATAGGTTGAGTAGAAACCTCTTATACTGACAATGAGAGAAAGAATGTCTAAAAAAATAGTGAATATTCCTTCGCAAGATACTAATGACATATTTGCTTAAATCTGCTAAACAATTGCCTTCATAGAAAGCTAAAATTTTTTTAAAGGTCTTAAAAAAACATATATTTTCTCATTTGGACAATATTTTACATTACAATATAAGCAAATATACTATATTATAGTATCTAACGAAGAAATATTTACTGTTTCTCAGATATCCTTTTTCTCAGTGTACAGGAATTTTTTGTTCCTACATCCGAGTTTTTTTATCGGATCCCCGAGTAATGGAAAATTCAGGTTACTTTAAGGGAATTATTTTTTCCATACAGTAAAATTCAGAAGTGTCGTGTTGAGGATTAAACGAGTGTAGAGGATTGCAAAGTCGCGCCGCCATCTTTGAGCAAAGCGAAAGAAAAATCCAGCGAGGACGCGTCGCGGCGGGTCGATGATCCACGTGTTTATGAGAAATCGGGTCAAAACAAGGAGGAAGGCGATAAAAATCAGGCCAGCAGCAGCGCAGGAGAAGAGCAGGAGGCAAGGGAGAGCGAGTGGATACGGCCTCTCGACAGCAGGTGTGCGATGAACTCTCGAGGGCAGAGTCCTTTCGCGCGAACGAAAGGAAAGACAGAGCGGGGCCGGCCGCTCCTTCCCCTGGGATAAAGAGGGTGCTAAGTCCTGGGGGCAGGTGAGGGAGGAGGACGGAAGAGGCAAAAGGAGGAGGAAGAGGGTGTGGGTTGTTGTGACGGCGTGGTTGTATACACCAGAGTCTTCGACTCCTCGCGATCTATCATCCCTTTTCTCTTATGCCGCGCGATTTTCGACGTCGCGAAAAAAATCGCGCTCAAATCCGACACGAGATTCCGCTGAATTGGGCGAGAGAACGGGCTTTCCTAATCGATCCGAGAGCTCTTGCGAATCTCCACTCTTTCTCTCTGTCCCTCTTTCTCTCACCCTCTTCCCTTCCCCTTTCCTCTATCTTTTTTTCGCCGCATTTTGCGAGAGAACGAGGAACTCGCACGCGCGGAGGTCGGCCCTCTTAAACAGCGATTAGATACGGCGCGACATCGGGAAGCTGCTGCGAAACAACGCGCAACAACGACCGGCGAAAACGCTAATTGATAAGTGGCGGAATGTTATCGGAGAGAAGAGAACCGGCGCGGCGTCGTCAGGGCGAGACGGCCATGCGTGCGTTGGTCGGTGCGCGTGTCGTCGGCAAACAACACGTCCGTTTCTGAACGAGACGAAGTTCGATACGCGATTATTATGACCCGCGGTGAGCCTTGAACTTGCCCTACGATAAGCACCCGGCCGCTTTACGAGTCCGCTCTGTTGCTGCGCGCCTCTTCTTCGAGGCGTCGCGCCGGTCGTTTGCCAACAATCACCGTGGCGCGATACCGTGCATCCCCGCGGTCACGCTAATCGGTCATCGCGGTGACGATCGTTGTTTTGGTATTCCCGACTGAATTTGTATGGAGCGAGAAAGATTAATTTCTGCGGCTACTCTTGCATTAGTAATGAAAACAGAAAGATAAGGCAGTCATTGAGAACGTTATTTCTGGAAATGGAAGGAAATGACGATTGGATATCAGTATTTTTTAAGGGGATGCACGATACCGATATAATGAAGCTTTTATAATTTACATTGTTTTTCTATTTGATTGTTTATAAGGAGAAAAGGATTTGGTTGGATTAACCAAATGTGAAATATGAACGAACCAGAATTCCGGCCGATGTTACCAGAATTCTGTTCAGGTTAATAAGATTCTGGTTAATTAAAAAAAATTTCTGATTAGTCAGAACTTGTCTCAACTGAACAGAAATCTTGTTTGATTAAACAAAATCTTGTCAACTTGAACAGAATTCTGGTTCATACTTTTCTGGTTCATACCAGACATTTTGTATCATTTGGTTGATTCAACTAAATTTTTTTTACGTGTAATATTGCAAACGTTTATATAGAGTGCACATGTCAATGTATGGCGGAGTATTTAATGTTGTATAAAAAACAAAAAAGAATTTGAAAATAAGTTTTTTTATATAACATGAAATGTTCCGCTATTCATGTTGATATTTTCACTCTGTATAAGCATTTGAAATTCTACATAATTAAACTAGACTGTAAAAACACTGCAAAATACGAAATTGCATTATGTCGGTTTTCAGCATCCCGTCAAGCAATATCAAAGCAATGTTACTCGCGATATATGCCGATCGAGCTTGATCAAGCGCGACACCGCGAAGGTAGTTCGACGCCATCCCTAGTAGCGGTAGAGCAGCTGAACAGCCAGCCAACCAGCCAGTCAACCCACCAACCCCCTATTCAATGTCGCTACAATAATAAACCACCTCGGTTATCTGTATTTCTGTATTTCCCTCTGGGATTCCCGGCACATTCAGGCATCGAGGCCAAGTTCATGCTATATATATATATATATATATACTGTTCTATAACGGCGTTTTGTCTGTGTTTATACCTTTCTACAACTGTAGTACGGCGTGCTCGCGCGTGTGTCTCTATCGGGACTTCGTAGAACGTGATCGCCGTCGCGTGGAGAGCCAACTCGCGAGTTTGTAATTTTTCCGTGCCACAGATCGGTGGCTTTTCAGAAAGTCGCGCGTGTTTCAAGTTTGAAGACTTGCCACAAACAAGCGAGAAAATTCGGGAGTCGCAATGCGTGATATAATCAGTGGCAAAAAAGTTGCAACGTATTTTCCTTCGACCCTTTCTTCGAGCCAAATTGACTGCAGTCAATAGCCGCGTATCGATTTTAATCAACGAACGAAACCAACATTTATTTTTTTCAATCGTTTATATCGAACTTCATATAATTTTATTCGAAGAGCCAGTGGACGATAATACTTCTACACGATCGTAAAAATGAGTACTTTCACGTTCAGAGATTATTACTCGGTTAGTATAGTATATTTACTTACACTGATATAAAATATCTTTAGTATATCTCAATAGTATATTTGCTTTCACTGATATGAAATATCTTTCAAATAAGAAAATATACATTTTTTTGAAAACCTTAGTTCTTCATGAAAGCAATTGTTTATTCTATTTAAATACGAAGATTCAAATTTAAGTAAATCTATTATTAGTGTTTCCTCCGAAAAAAATTTTTTATATTTATCTCTTAGTGTACCAATAGAAAAATTAGATTTTTACTGATCCTGGATACTGAATGTATTTTAAAGTTAACGAAGTCTATATACGTTGCAACCTTTCTTTTGTATACGTTTATGACGTCGGTGCATCGAGACGAACACGCTTTATTTATTAATTTCCTTTCCCTTTTTGCGCGGGGATCGAACTCTCGAACTGAGAGTTTATCGGAATCTCACACGATGTCGGCTTAGACAATTTCGATGACAATTTCGATTTCACTTACCTTCTTCTCGGTGAGCTTCTCGCACCGCCTCATCTTACAAATCTGATGACTCTTGTCGTTCCGGCACGGCGCGCAATCCCCGCAATTCTCCTTGCGCTGGCAGCCGATGCATTCGCCGCATCTCTTCCGTTTCTTCTTGGCCGGCTTGTCGCCGAGGCTGCCGTCGCCGTCGCCGTCGGTCAGGCCGCCGCCGAGATGGTGGACGCCGCGATTCGCGGTGGAAGACACCGCGGCTACCTGGCCGGAACTCTCCACGTTGCCGGCACCGGCGCCTCCACCGGCACCACCTCCGCCGCCGCCTCCGCCGTCCTCCGACTCCATGGAACCCGCACGGATTTTTCTGCGCTCCTTCTTGCGGCCGTCAATGCCGATCGGTCTCGAGGTCGGCGACGAGTCCAGCACGGTCGACATCGGATTCTGGAAGTTTGCATGGTGCAGCTGCGGATACTCAGGCTTCACCACCGTCAGCACCGTGTGGTGAGGATGACCCGGCGGCGGACCTGGAAACGCTTGCACCGGGCTGGAACCCAGCAGCTGTATGTGACGTTCGTCGAGTAGCTGCTGCTGAAGTGCCGGTACCTCCCGCGCTTGCACCGGTGCTGGTACCAGCGGATAACCGAGCGATCCGCGATGTGTGTGCGGCACCGGTAGTGGTGTGCCCAAGGTGTGGAAGCTAGGTAGGCCCACGGCCGACGTGACCGGCGGCGAATGCGACATAGACACCGGCGACAACGGCGTCAACGCAGTCAACTGCGGCTCAGACTCGCTGGGAGCAGTGAATTGACTGTTGAAGCTCGGCAAGCCCTCCGGGCCGCCCGCCTTGGACTCCCACGGCCGGTATTGCTGGTTCGAGATCTCACGGGAGTCGACCAGCCGACTCGTCAGGCCCTCCGCGTAATATTCGCCCCAGGACGCCAGGCCCAGGCCGACGTCCTGTGGGTGCAGCGTCGTGAGTGTCGTCGAGCTGTCCATCGCGTTGTCGGCGTTGAAGCTGACGCTGAACGGCGGCAGACTTGACGGCACTGCACCCGGTGAGGTCGCGACCGCCGCCGGAGGGCTCGTGGGCACCCTCTCGGTGGCGACGACCTCCTTCGTCACCTCGGCGCTCATCCTCCCCGCCACGACATCGCGATTTTAACCTCCGCCCGTGAGCTCCCCGTGAGCTACGTGTCGTCGTCGTCGTCAGCGTTGGTAGCGGTCCGCCGAGACTTCCTCCGGGACCCTCTCGAGGATCCTTTCGCTGCGGATTCTCCTAATCTTCCTAATCCTTTCGCTTCCACGTCGGCTGCTGCTTCGTTCGATCGATCCAGATCGTGAATATTGTTTATTGATTGCGCCACATTTGCGCGCACTTTGTTCTTTCGGTCTCTTCTGTGACTGTTCGCTGAGATTCCCGTTAGTCCATGAAACAATACTTGTAGGATACGGCTCTTTCGGTACGGCCACTGCGTCGTCCGTGCACCAACATGTTTCCGGCGTCCTAAACTCGCCGCGGTTGCGAGACCTGGATTTCCTCCGGCCTCGGCTATATGTGTGCTGTCGATCGCTGCTCGTGCACGTCTCCTCCGCTAGTACGTAGTCTTCCAAGTTCGTAAAAGATGTCCTCACGCACAAGGCTGCTTCCTCGATCTTATGTTCGCTCGCTCTCTTCCTCTCGTTCTTCCTCTCGCACTTGATTTCTCACTCTCCTCTCGCACTCGATTTCTAACTCTCCCCCCTCTCTCTCTCTCCCTCTCTCTCTTTCTCTCTCTCTCTCCCTCTCTCTCTCTCTCTCTCTCTCTCTCTCTCTCTCTCTCTCTCTCTCTCTCTCTCTCTGTGTTTGTGTGTGTGTCTGTCTATCTATATCTCTAGCTCTGTGTCGTTTTGTACTCAACAGGTTTAGGCTACGAACTGAAGTAGATCGGTTGCTCCGGGAGTGTCCAAGCAAAATCCGGTTGACTCTCCTCCCTTTGTCTGGCTCTCCTTCTCCTAGCTTGGCGAAAATCTGTCACGTGACGCGTCCAGTTTGAAAGATGCACTTATGTTTTACGGCTATCTCTATAAACCTCTCTATAGCTTACAAAACTGTGCCGGCTCGCTTAATTAAAAGCGGCTCTGACGAAGGAATCGGTGTGTGTCTTACTATTTATCTCGCTTGACGAGAGATTAATTGTTATTCGATGAATAGTTAACAGAAGAAATGGTAGATTCTTTGGTTTACGGTCTGCTCTCGCACTGCAGTTATTCTCTGGTTCTCACTCTTTCTCACTCGCTCTCTCTCTTTCTTTCCCTCTCTCTATCCTCTCTCTCTCTCTCTCTCTCTCTCTCTCTCTCTCTCTCTCTCTCTTTCTCTCTCTTTCTCTCTCTCTGTTTCTCACTCACTCTCGGTCTTCCTCTCTAGATCTCCGTTTTGCAACAATCACTTTTACCTCGATCTCTACTGGATTTGGCACTGGCGGACTTGTGTTTGTTTTAATCTGTTGTTATGTATTTCTCTCCCTTCGTTAGAGATATACTTTGTACACTTATTAGATAATATAGCTTCTAATCTTTTATCTTCCTCTGAACCTAAGCTCTTGGGATATCTTCTTTTTTTGTTTTGTTCTTCCTTCACGTCGATATAAACATACTAATTACTTCTTTCGCGCTTCGTAAGAAAATAGAAATCACTTGAGGTTAATGTGGCTTGTTAGAAGGCGGTTGATTTGTACGATCTGAAACAGAAAAGCAGAGGTGTTCGCATGTTAGAGACTCGTGCTGATTTTCTGCGGTCGTGAGGAAAGGGCTGGTGAAAAGTTTAAATTACTGTCGGATCAAGTCGTTTCGTCGCAAACGAGCGCGCGCTCGCGAGATATCGGAGACGGAAAATTCAACGAGAAGGAAACGAGATGCACGGATTAGCGAATGTGTTATTATACGTCACGTGAGCGTGAACGCGCACGTGACGCGGGACTATGTGAGAATGTGTCACAGACGTTGCTTATAACGTGACCATCGCGCCGAGCCAAGGCTACTATTACGTTCGGTGTGTTCGCACACCGACTCGTACGCCGCTCGCTTTGATATCCGCTAGCCGTACGTACGTTGCGCCTAGCTGTTTCATTCACGTTGCTTAGAAGTCTGACGATGGCTTTGAACTTGTATCGCGTCGCTTCGAGTCGAGCAAGTCGATCGAGAAGAGACGGACGCGAGCCGCTGCACACAAACGCAAATTGGTTAATTGTGAGTTATTATTAAGTAATCAGCTGAAATTGTGTGTGCATTTGCAGATGATGTGCCACGATAAGTATGTATAATAACAACAACAAAGACGAAAAATTGAATATTATATAAGATAAAAGTACCAGTAGACATACCTAATCCTGGACATATATTTTTTTAGTTTTTATAATATTTATTTTTTCAAAATATACATACGAGTATTGAGTATGTACATACATTTCACGTTAAAAGTTTAAATATTCATATTTACAAAGACTAAAACGAAAAGAATGTCCAGAATTAGATACGTGTCCGGGCACCGACACTTTTACCTTAAGATAAAATTAAATTGCATCCTGGTCTTAATTTCGACCTTAATGGCGAATATCGCCTTTAATTCGAATTCGATTTCGAATTTCGACCTTAATTTAATGGCGAATATACTTGAGCAAAATCGCAACGTGTTTTCACGACTTATTTGTACTCGCGGGAGTTTCGCCACCATCGTTAAAAATCCCTGCGGCAGCCCTGCGAAAATATCGATCGACGTTTACTCGCTCTCTCGCGCTGCTCTCTTCCTCCCATTCGTCTTCTCTCCCAGCCTCCCTCCTTCCCTCTCGCAACCCCAGACCGTCAACTTGTACCGCGCCAACTCTTTCGCAGCTTGGCGAAAACAGCTTGGCGGAGACGCGTCGTTTATTCAGCGAAATTAAGTACATTTTTAGGTACAAATAAATAAAAGGCGACGTTCAAAAGAGGAGAAAAATCAAGAATCATGAAAAAAGTAAATCTCGCGGGGAGAACTGTTTCGTTTTTCGTGTCACAAACTGTTCTGTGTATGTGTGCGTAGTCTACGTAACGTGACACGCACACGTGTGAGCGCATGCGAGTGTAGTAGGAGTTTTCACGAGGCACAGTGAATGCGTAACACAGACACAAATACACACACAGAGGGAGGAGGAGAGAAAGAGAGAGAGCTCTGTAGCTATGCAGCGGTTTTCCACCCCCGCCACTCGGCGTTTTCCGCCCCCGAACTCTAATAGCTTTACAGCTGTGACCGCCGCCGCTGCCGCGGCCGGTGTGCTTTCGCTATCGCTGGAAACTTGCACTGTCGTTCGGCCGGCACTTTCGCTCGCGGCTTCGACCTTGCGCGGAGATGCGACTCCACCGTTTCACGCCGGGTGTACGCGAGAGATACCGTTCATTCCCGCGTCTGCACTTGTCGATTGTGCGCGATTCAACGTTCAACGTCCGGCGCGATACACACGATGCGCAAACGTGCGAATTGTTATGTCGTGCGAGATCCAATTAAGAATTCGCAATTAGCGCGCTGCGTTATTTGTCAAAAGCCATCTTTTTTCGTCGCGCAAGGACTCTCTCTCTCTCTCTCTCTTTCTTTCTCTTGAGGGTCTCTGTCTCGGCGATTGAACTTTGTTAATGTCCATAAATCTTGTCTAGACTGAATACCGCGAACTTTAGTCTTTAAAGGTCGCGAATCTCGGTGCGTCGATAGCGCGAACATTAAGCTCTGGATGGTGGCGTTGTTCGTTCAGAAGGACCACTTTGTACGAATAATCGGGGTGTGGAGTAACATCGATGAAAATCGCCTTTTCCAGAAAGCCGCCTCTCCAGGCAAATTTGACGAACGTCATTATCGCAAATCACTCTGACTTGGTAGATACGAAGTTTAGAATATACAAAGGTAACAGTTATTTCCCGCGCGCGTTAATTGAGAACCGATCGGGAAATTGTGGAAAATTTGGCAAACGAATTTGATAATCACAAAAAAATCCGACCTCTGTGTTTATCACTTTTTATTACATGCGAAGAGACCTTTCGCGACACCCGTTAGCTATCCCTCCGGCTGCACTTTCGTCGAATCGACCGTAGATGCATGCACAAAAATTCAATACCACCGTCGCGCATCGCACATAGGGTGGCCTAAAAGTACGTGTGTCAGCAGTTAGCTCAGTCGTGCTTCGAAGTAATCGTGTCGCGTGCAAAAAAATAATCACACATGAAAACTGATTAATTATCTCGTAGTAAATTCCATGTCGATAATTTCCCGTTTAATCTGTTTTAAGCAATAAAATCTGGAGGATTATCAGAGAAAGTTCTTTCAAGAGAAACAATACGAAAATTCCCGCAGGAAAAGGCAAGTAAACACATTTTTCGGGTACCACTTTGTATAATCGCCACAGAAAGAAAGAAGGGGAGGGGGGAGAAAGAGAGAGAGTAAGAAAGAATGAGTCGTTTGCGGATTCTTTCGTCCGCGGCGAAGCGCAGGACGCAAATTCCGAGAAGCGCATATAAACCAGCTGCCATAGAGAGCCGGGGATTCCACACGCTTGGAATTAATATTAGCCGCGCGTCGCTAACGGAAACCGCCGCAGAGAAAAATCGCACCCGCTCTTTCGATTCTTCGGGCTCAACTGTTGTCCGCGGCGAAATTCCGCGAGTCGAGTCGAGTCGACGCGGTGGGTGTTCTCACGTGCCTCTCAGAGAGAGGAGGGTGGGAGAATTTGGATCGTGCCGATAAAATCTTTCATTTGCCAGTCTTTGTTACTAAATTCACGAAAGGAAATTCGAAGGAGGCGCGGGAAAAATGCGACAAATTCGCGAGACAATATGGGGCACAAGATGCTATACTTTTTCGAATTTTAAAGTTACTTTTCAGTAAACTTTTCAGACAGTCAATGACTACATTTGATTGTACAAACAACCTTCTTAAAAATGCTCTTGCAACGATTCTATAAAACGCGCATTTTTTTCTGCAATAATTGAAAAATGAACATGCTGCAACATGGTAATATTGTCTTGGCTGCAAGTTGGCTTGCAACTTGGGGACAGACTATATTGCAAATCCATGCGTGTTATTTTGACTGAATCTCTTTTCACATGTAGCAAATAAGAAAAGGAATATTTGGAAAATATTTTTGTTTTTGACATATTAATCTTCAAGTGAGATTACATAACATCGAATCAAAATAATTTTATTTGCAAGAATACATTTGATATGATCTCTCTCTCCGACAAAGAAAAATCTATTCTCATTATTCAGGAATAATTTTTATTAAGAGAATGTTCCAAATATTGGGTTAGGTTAGGTTTTCCGCTTAATATGGTAAAACAAAACAACACACATTTACGTAAGTTCTGTTTGTACAAGAAATACGAAAAGGATAGCATGATTGTATTAGTGACAATTGTCTTTGCGTTATCGATATTATTCAAGTTCGTCATCGACTTCAGCATCCCCTTAAAGCATCCCGTATTAAATTTACGCGTCTTAAATGTGTCAAATGACATGATTTAAAACCACAAGAAACATATAAAAAGAGCTCCACCCAAATTACACGTTTATGCGTTTAAAAATAACGCTCTTGGATTTGCAGTGCATATCACGAAATATATTGCACGTCGAGAAATATTTTATAGTTTGAAACTGTTTTATAATAAACGAGGTTTATTGCTGGTTTTCTTCACAGAAACAAATGAAGTAAAGACACGTTTCCAAAATTCATCGTACAGCGATTGTACGATTTTATGCGAATTGGGCGAATCTTGATACGTACTGTTGAGTGTGGATTTACGTGTGAAAGAGTGTGTGTGTGGCGATGAAGAAGTATAGAGAAAATTTTCGATTCGCATTAACACAAATTGATTGTCTCCCTTGTTCTCGCCGTTATTAACCCCGGTCTAGCTTCGTGGCACGAGACGCGTCGTGCGTTTCAGACGTCGTCCGTTTGTCGTGCATCAGGAAAGAAAAGGAGCAAAATGACCGACGCGCCATTTTTGCCGCGGCGTAATGCCGGAATTAGCGCGATGCCACCGCGAAAAAGCGGATTAACGCGCGGGCAAAGGAACGATGCCAGTGACTTGAGCATGCGAGCTGTGGAGGCTCTTGGAGACTTCTCGGAGAATTTCAAGACTGCGCGGGCGCGCGCGCGCGCACACGCTAACGGTCGTTGGCGTGGCAATTATAAATGGCATCAAGTCGGAATTACATTTGAACAACTTATCACGTTGCCGTTAAACGGGAGCATTTAAAAAGCGGACAGGTCCGTCGTCCTCGGCGTGCGCGGACCAACCGAGAAAATTAGAAAGACCCAGATGAAGGAACGACCGCGGCATGCTCGTCGATTTTCTTTTCCGAGCTTAACCGACGACTCACACATACGCAAAGTAGGTCCTCCGCGCTCTTTATATCAGAGCTCGACGTAATTGGACTCGCGTTTCTGATACGATTGCTCGATTTAAAAACCGATATCTCGGGCGAGAAACTCTAGCCGGAGCACGTCCTCGAAAGCGACGCGAAGCGCCGCGGACGAATGGGCCCCGCGCGCGCGTACATACGAAGGGCCGAGGGTTGCGTGTGTGCGTGCACGTCCGTGGGACCTTGAATCAAGCGGCCTTTGTCGCGTGGAGAGCCGAAGAGAGCTCTGGTCTCTCGCGCGCGGCACCACGAGGTCGGCGAAAGTGTACCCGAAGCTCCTTTTTTGCTCGTGCCACG